CTCTCTCTCTCTCTCTCTCTCTCTCTCTCTCTCTCTCTCTCTCTCTCTAGCGGGCAGGAGCAGCGGGCGCCACGTCGAAACCGCCGCTTTGAAATTGCTTGGGCCTGTGCGAAACCCGCCACCTCGAAAAGCTGCAGTGTCTTGTCTCTGGACCTCTAGGCTATGTCCGGTGGGGTGAAAGGACACGTAAAAATCACCCCGTTATTTTTTGAGGGGCGGCTAGGACCTGACAAACGTCCTGGGCCGCCCCTTTTTTTATTTTGATTTTTGGCCCAGGGGCCTCCATCCAGACATGGGGACCGCTCATGCAAGTTCTCCAGATGTACTGGTAGTTTAAGGACCTGACCACTCTGCCAGCGTCACTACCGCTCCGGGAAGGGATCTTTTTTTGCCCTGTATATCTGTGCAAAGTGTAACTGCCCTGTATATTTGTGCAAATTTTAACTGAGAATCCGAGATAGATAGACCTGAACATTTACTTCCACAATGTAGCAGAAGAGTCCCTTTTGACTCACCTCACCCTTGAAGACCCTGCCCTCGTTTTTTGTGGTTGGTGTGATTTCCACTGTTTAGATAGATCAGCACATGGCCCCAGCCAACTTGAGAATCGCGATTGAGCCTCTCGTAAAATTTTGGAGGCTCAGTACAGGGTGTGTCCGAAGGACCAGTCGAAAAAAAAAAAACTGTCGTATGCCGGGGTCAGCCCTGAAGATAGAAACAAATTCCACCCGTCCCGATCCCCTTAACTTTTCGAAGACGCGCATTTGAATTATCCTGATGTACTGGTGGGTTAAGAGATGAACGTAGTGGTGATGGTGACAGTCTGCTGAGGTAAAATAAGCTGCCAAAAATGCTTTTCACTTTTGTGATATGGTAACTTTCTTCTCACACCTGCCATGACTATTGCTCTTGTTCGACAGGCGTTGAGTGGGATAGAGGAGTACCTGTTGGGGCTTGGCGAAACTTTTGGAGAAAACGCCCTCCTTGCAGTCCTCAATGCTCAGCTTCTGGTGCAGATCGGCATACTCTCGGCAATTCCTATGCTGGCAGAATTCATGCTTGAACGTGGTTTCTTTCAGGTAAGGACAACGAGTGACCGGGACAGGCGAAGCTATGGGAGTGATGGACGACAGAGGGAATACACCCACCCACCCACCCACTCATGCCTGCCAGCCTGCCTGCCTGCCTGCACGCCTGCCCACATACACACACACACACACTATAATATTAACATTTTTGAAGCTTGCTACCAATGGTTAAGTGGGGTGTGCCCTGTGCGTGCCTTCGCTGTGTGTGTTCTGCCTCAGGCGTTGTACATATGATATCGCCTGCAGAATTCTAGAACTATACCAAATTTATTTCCCTCCTGCCCAGCTTCACCTCCATCTAGCTTTTACGTATCTTCATCTTTGTAATGATGACCTGCAGGTCTGAGTATGTGCATTTCTGCGCTTGATTGTTTGTGTGCTTTTTTTGAGGGGGGGCATATTCATGTGGTGTTGTTACAGAAACTAGAGAAAGACGGTTGAGCCAAAAATTGATGATAATCTGAGTGGGGATCCGGGCCGCCCGGGTGACCGGCAGGGGCCCGGGGGAGGTCCCGGGCGGCCTGGCCGGGCAGGGCACCCGGTTGGGGGCCGGGGCCCCCCAGCGCGCTCACCTGTCGGGGGATTTCGGAACCCCTTTCGGACCCTCTTTGTGTGTGTGTGTGTGTGTGTGTGTGTGTGTGTGTGTGTGTG